CCCCCCCCGCGTCGCTGGCCTGCACAGGAGCTGCTCCTACGTGCGCCCCGAAGGGAGGGGCGCGAGGCATCACCCCGGGGGGACCACGCTGGGTGCCCGGGGGATCTCCCCTGCTGCCAAGCTCACCCCCAGCCATGACAACCCCGAGTCCTCTCCACTGAAGCTGCCGATGCCCCATGACCTCTGGTGGCCAAGGTCGCCCCTGCACCTGCCCCTCGCTTCCCAGCTCTCCCCTTGGGGCACTGTCAGGTTCCCATCTGCTCCGCGTGTCCAGCTCCTTATACCATCGTGGGCCTTGCTTCACTGCCCACTCCCTGCAGGAGTGGCCACGCCACAGTGGACTGCATCCCTTCCGTCCCCGGCTCCAGGGGGCAGCAGAGAGATGTGTGTGCAATGGGCAAACCTCGGCTGCACCTCAGACACACCTGGTTCGCCTGTTCCCAGAGGCACAGACACAGAACAGCTTCTGTCACAGAATGAAGCTGACTGACAAAGGGCAGCACAGACTATAAGAGGTGCCCGGAGCAGGGCATTATTAAGCCTCTCCCAGCACTGCCGGAGCCCATCCAGCAGTTAGGAGTGGGGCTGCTGTGGGCAGTGGGGCTGCTGTGGGCAGTGGGGCTGCTGCAGGGAGTGGGGTGCGGGACCCGGGCTGAGCCAGGCCTGTGAGAGCTGTGAAAGGTCCACTCAGGGCCCCCGGTTGGCTGGTGGGCGGGTGTATCCTGTAGCGACACCAGCTTCCCCTCTCACTTCTCAGGATCCCAACTGTTGGTTGTGCTGGCGAAGCAGAGGCGTCCCCACCCCTGACTCACACGCCCCCAGAAAGGAGGAAGAGGGAAACAATACAGAGACACGGGGGGACCCCCCAGTAAGACATGGAGAGGAAAACTCATTAAAATAAAGCCCGACGCTGGGGCAGTGGTTCTAAAATTTGAGCCATAGATGCCGGCGGAAAGCTGATGAAAGGACAGATCCTCTCCCAAGACGTCTACAGAGAGGTGTTGGAGCGCAGGCCCCGCGTGTCCCCATCCCACTGGGCATGTGGAGATCCATCCTGAGACCTCTGAGGAGCCCCAGATTCAGCGGGAAGAAAGACCTGAGCTGTTTGGGGCGGTCCCCACAGGTCTCTGTAGACGCCTCTCTACAGATGCTTAAAATCCTGTCCTTGCATTTCAGGGAGCAGAGACGAGCCCGGACACGAATCCAGCTGCTCATTAAACCACAAGCACCCACGTGACACCAGTCCAACGGTTCACGAAACCACGGGGCACCCATGTGACACCTATCCAAGGATTCACTGAACCACAAGGCACCCACATGACACCTGTCCAACAGTTCACAAAACCACGCAGCACCCACGTGACACCTGTCCAATGACTCACCGAACCACAAGGCACCCACGTGACACCTGCCCAAGGGTTCACTGAACCACACAGCACGCACGTGACACCCGTCCAGTGGCTCACTCAACCACGAGGCTCACTCAACCACGAGGCTCACTCAACCACGAGGCTCACTCAACCACACGGCACCCACGGTGCGAGGAGAGGCTGGATTGCACCCCACCCCCCCAAAGCCCAACCCGCCGGGACCTACCATCATGAGCTCCTTCTGGAAGGACTTGCGGTCCTTGTTCTCGGCGTTGTTACAGTCCTCCTTCAGCTTCTCCAGGACGGATGCCACCCGCTCGGGCTCGCTGTCGGGCTCCGCGCGGCAGAAGGAGGCGAGCGGCAGGTTCCCGTAGCCCAGGGCGTCGGCGAAGGAGCGCCAGCTGCTGACGTTCTCCATGAGCAGCGTGCGGACCGAGGCGTAGATGTAGGTGAGGAACTTGCAGGGCCGCAGCATCTGCTCCAGCAGCACGGCCGTGCTCAGCTCGGGCCCGCACGGCAGGCTGGGCCGGGCCCTGCCCACCACCAGCACGTTCTTGGCGTGCACCAGGCCCACCTGGCCCTGGTGGTAGCCGATGTACCACTCCTTGGTCCACAGCTGCCCCTTCAGGCGGATCTTCTCCTCGCTGAGCAGGGCGATGGCCTCCCCCTTCTTGTACTCCAGCAGGTAGTGGTTCTTGCTCTGCCGGACCACGGTCTTCAGCAACTTGCCGAACTTGAGGCTGGACACGGGGCGGTCCTGGAAAGTGGGGTACTTCGTGGTGGCCGCGAACGGCGACAGAATGATTTTCCCAACTTCGTTCTTCTTGAGAAAGCGCCTCTGCCCGGACGGCTTGATGGCGCTTTTGGGGGGCGGCTGGGGAGTCTGGACGCAGAACTGGGTGAGGATGGCCGCCTGGTCGTCCTTCACCTGGACGCGCAGGGTGAAGTCGGAGAGCTCGCCGGGGCCCTGGCAGGCGATGGGGAAGATCAGGCGGCTCACCTTGCCCAGCTTCATCTGGAAGCCCCTCACGACCTTGGCCGGCTCGCTCGCGCGGACCTCGTAGTGCGTCATGTTGGAGAACATGCAGACCTGGAGGTCCTGGGGCCTGGGCAGGACGAACTGGTGCTTGCCCCAGAGCTGCAGGGCCACGGGCGCAGGGCTGGGTGCCTGGCGGGTGACCTCGGTGACCAGGAGGGTCTTGGGGGCACAGTCATGCCCAAAAATGGTCACCACCGTCTTGAAGGACGGATGGATGTGTTTGGGGCCATAGAGACCCACTGTGACCTTTTTGTTGATGAAGTCCCACACGGTGGAAGGGTAGAGGATGTTGGGCCCGTGGGCAACAATGGCCAGGTACATACAGGGCTCCAGGTTGTCCAGGTGCACCTGGACCGTGTCCCCGTAGCTGTAGGTCAGCGGAATGGGGACGTACGGCCCTTCCTTGACGTCGCTCCTCAGGCACTGCAGGCCCACTGTGCTTTTGCTGAAAATGTCATTTTTCACCTCGGCGGAAACCTTCATCTCCAACACGATGACGGTTTTCACCTCCAGGTGGCTCAGCTTCACCTCCAGCACGGGGCTGACGCTGCAGCACCTGTCGCTGTTGAGTTCCAGGGGCGGATCCAGCAGCGCCTTCATGGAGATCTGCTGGGTCTCCCCCGGGGCCACGTGGCCCTCGGGCACGTGGATGCTGATGCCGGTGTCGGGGAGCTGCACGGAGCCCCCCGAGCTGTCCAGCTTGCACACGATGTTCGTCTCCACCGCCTGGGTCTGGCCCCACCCGGGGCTCTGGCCCAGCAAGTCCAGGTCGTGGCAGGACCGGGCCAGCTTCCGGTGGCTCAGCCAGGCGGCGCGGAAGTCCTCCCGGCTCTGGAACTGCTCGGGGGCCGGGGACTTCAAGCCCGTGAAGAACCCCGACGAGGCGGGCGCGTCGGACTTGGACTGAAGGACGGAGAGCTCCGACAGGCTGTAGGAGCGCTTGCTCCGGAAGAACGGGTTGTCCCGCCTGCCCGGCGCCTCGGCGGGCAGCTGACTTGCAGCCGGCAGCCCGTCGAAGATGTTGCCGGTGCCGTTCGTGGTGGCCGAGCTGGACTCGGGGAAGGGACTCGTGCCCGTGTCAAACAGCAGCAAGTCCACGGTGCTCTTGGGAGCCGGCTCGTCTGCGCCGGGCACCCCCCCCGGCACGCTCCCGTTCAGAAACGGGTTCGTCCGGACGCCGTTCCAGAAGGGGTTATTACTGTAGGTTCTGGCCGGTCCCTTCCCGTCATCCGTCCATCCTCCGAGCAAGTCCAGCTCCTTGGCCGCCTCGTCCGGGCTGTCGGGAAGGTTGTCGATCATCCCGCTGTCGCTCAGCGTGGAGTTCCGGTAGTGGAGGGGCTGCACGTAGGAGGAGGGGATGTAGCCCATCTCCGTGGTGTTGTGGGCATACCACCAGTCCCCGCCCGACGTGTCCAGCACATAGAGGTGGTCGCCCTTGGAGAACTTCAGGGTGGTGAAGTTGTTGGGGCGGTAGTCCTTGATGGCGATCACTTCCTTCGCGTTTCCGAAATGCGTGGGATTGTCCCCGAGCAAGGCACTGGGAGAAGGCACTGCAAGACACACACAGAAGGGAAGGTGAGGGCGCAGAGGCGGGCGGGCCGCAGGGCTCCGCCCCAGCTAGGGGAGCGCGGGCCAGGAAACAGCCTCTAGCGGACGCGACCGCCAGCCGCTGCCCGACTCACAGGAACAAACCGGAGTGGGGCCTGGCGTGGGGCCGACACGCCCATGCGGGCACGGGGGTCTCGCCACACTCGGCCGAGTCCAAGTCCCACACGCAACGTCGGGCGAGGCCACGGGGGAAGTCGCTCCGCCAGCCACAGGCGCGCAAACCGGCACAGGGAAGTCCCCGTGTGCCCGCGTTTCAAACGTCTCGTTCGGGTCAAAGTTCTCTTTACCTGACTAACTGGCCGGAACTGCTGCTGGGCAGTGAGGGGCGCAGGGCAGGCCCCCCAAAGTCCGCCCCTGTGGCACGTGGACTACTCTGATCGGAAGACAACCCAGGCCCCAGAGACTCAGGAAGAGCCTTTACCTCCTTACGAGAATGTAGAGGGAGGCCCGTTCCGGGAAGAGCTGTCACCAGAGAGAAGACGCGGAGCGCAGGCCGGTGGGCTGGGGGAGCTAGGCAGGGAATTCTGTCCCACTGTCTCCGCAGGGCTGGGAAACCTGTTTATCCAACACTTGCTCTTCCATCTTCCTGTGAATCTCCTTCCCTTCGAGGCCCAGCCCCGCCGCCTCCTTCCCAGCTCAGCCTTCCTAGCATATGAGCCTTTTTGGCCTGACGGCCCCAGGTCTCATATTATTATAGGTCGCACAGTCTTACAGGGGCCCCATACGTATGTCATTAAATTTGTTTTTCTCCTGTAAATCTGTCTTATGTCCATTTAGTTATTAGGCCAGCCAATAACTAAGCCTAGAGCCTAGAGCCTAGAAAGGTAGGGGAACAGTTGTGTGTCCCCGTGTCTTAGCAAACACAGAGATGTTCTGAATTTAGTGACCCTGAGGCATGTGACCAGGCACAGGGGGGACAAGAAGAGCCTCAGAAGAGCTGCCTCCATATCCCGCCTTCGACACCCAAGACACATTCCCTTGAAGCTCAGGCCCGATTCTTCCATTACAAGTTGAACCACCCTTATTTACTTAATTTTTATTAAAATTTTGATGTTATCCGGCTGGGCGTGCTCAGTGGTTGAGCATCAAGCCGGCCAGGGCTAGACCTGGGCTTTTAATCCAGGCCCTCAGGACTGCCTGACCTCCGGAGCCTGAAGTTCTTCATGATGGAGAAGAGGCTCTTTATTCAAGGGGCCCTGGGGAGGATTAGATGAAATGGTGCCGGCGGGGGGCTTAGGACAGTGACGCTTGGCCCGGGGAAAGGGCTCACAAAATGTTCTGTCACAGTGGACACTGCACCCCCTCCTGTTCTATTCCCCACAACACTGATCACCACCCAATATTTCAGGCACCTTACGCATTTGCTTCAGTTTTGGGGGGGGAGGGCTCCATCGCCCCATCAGGGTACAAGCTCCGTTGGGGGCTGCTCTGCTGACGGTGGTGTCCCTGGCAGAGGGTCCAGCACAGCAGGTGCTCGGCCCATAGCCCCTGGATGACCGCTCCTGCAGTCTGGGCTGCTCACAGCAGACAGGGCGCGTCCACGCTACTGGGCCAAGGCGACGGCCAAAGGCAAAGTGAGGCTTCCCCCTGGCTGTGGCCCCTACTGGAACATCACACACCCTGAAGGGAGGGGACTGAAGGGAGGGGACTGAACAAAAACAGCAGCATAAAAGGGACTGGCTTCAAAGGGGAGGTGGGGAGAAGGGAGGCGGGTCAGGCTGGGGTCAGAGATAATATAAGACCTTCTCTCCCACTCTGTTGTCTGGTCACGGGCTCCAGGCCTATAAACCACTTCTGTCTCCTTGACACAGCTAATGAAAATGTCACATGAAAATTAGAACCAAATGAAAATTAAAGAAAGCCCGAGAGCTATTAAAATCTGGTTAGAATCCCTCGCAAGTTAAATCCCTATCATGTTGGCCCAGAATAATTCTCTTACAGTAATATTTTTAAAATTAAAAACGGAAGCTATGAGGTTGGCGTTGTACATAGCCCGAGACAATATATCCATGTAAATGATCACTTCAGTCTCACCCGGCTGAAGAACAGAAACGGTTTTACTTAATACTCCGAGCACTCTCCTTAGAAGGTAACAGATTTCACTCGAGGATCAGGCTCCTTCTGGTCAACCCCCCCCCCCCC